ATTGGGAGGGGAGGAGGGGGGTTGGGCCGTGGGTGGCTGCAGGGCCGTGGTGGGGGTAGGGGTGGCAGTGGGCTGGGTGCTGGGGCTGGGCCGAGAGGGAGAGGTGGAGGGAGAGGGTTGGGCCGAGGGAGTAGGGCTGGGGGGTTGCTGGGCCGAGGTGGGGTGCTGGGATGGGGTGTGGGCAGTGGGATGGGCCGTAGGTGTGGGTTGGGTAGTGGGCTGGTGGGCTACGGGTAAAGGGGAGGAGTGATAGGGTGGGGTAGTTTCGTCATCCGTGGCGTCGAGAAATTTTAAATCGTGTGAAGTGAGGGGGTGACCGTAAGTAAAATTAGACTCGTCAAAAATAACATGGCGGGAGATAATAAGTTTGTTAGTTTGAAGATCCAAGCAGCGGTAGCCGCGTTGGTTGGAGGGATAACCGAGAAAAATGCAGCGAGCTGAGCGTGGTGCTAATTTGTTAGGGGTAGTGGCGGAGATGTTAGGGTAGCAAAGACAACCGAAAACTCGGAGATGAGAGTATGAGGGTGGTGAGTTGTAAAGTGTAGCATGCGGGGTGTTGTTATTGAGAGTGGTGGTGGGAAGTATATTAAAAATGTGGGCGGCCATGTGTAGGGCCTCGACCCAAAATTCGGGGGTGAGTTGGGCTTGAAAAAGAAGAGATCGAACGGTGTTGTTAATGGTGCGGAGGGTGCGCTCAGCCCGTCCGTTTTGTTGACTTGTGTGGGGGCAAGAGAATCTAAAGAGAATGCCTAAGGAGTCAAAAATATTTTTAAGAGGAGAGTTACGAAATTCAGTTCCATTATCGCATTGTACAACTTTGATTGTTGTGTTAAAATGATTTTTGACATATGCTATGAAAGTGGTTAAATGATTAAAAGCGTCACTTTTGTGTCGTAGGGGAAACACCCATAAATAGTGCAAAAAATCATCCAATAAGATCATGTAAAATTTAAAGCCAGTAATACTGGGTACAGGAGATTGCCATAAGTCTGAATGTAAAAGTTGAAAAGGAAAACTAGAAACACGACTAGATGATGAAAAAGGGAGGCGCACATGATTTCCCAATTGACATGCATGACATAAAGTATGTTGATAATTTTTAAAATGAGAAATATAAGGGACGCCACGGAGGACAGCTGGGCTTGGGTGACCAAGGCGCCTATGCCAAATCTGGGGATCGGCAGCGACGACGTGGGCTTGTGCAGTGGTAGTGCGTCCTACAGGGTAGAGAGGTCCCATATCATTGGATCGATGCATCACGGTTCCCGTCCGACGATCCTTCACAGAAAAACCATGAGCATCAAATTCAACAGTACAGTTATTATCACGGGTAAGTTGACGAACAGAGATAAGATTGTGAGTGATGTGAGGGGAGACTAAGATATGTTTGAGGGATAGGGGAGGGGTGGTGGGGATGGTGTGGCTTCCAACAGCCGTAGTGCGAACTTTAGATCCATTACCAACAGTGATATATAATGATGAGTATAATGATGGAGAAGAAGAAACATAAGAAAGAGTACCTGGGTCGGAGGCAATGTGGTGTGAGGCGCCGGTGTCCATAAACCAGGTTGGCTCTTTGAGGGACATGGTGTCAAAATGGTGGGCCAAGGCAGTA